GGGAGAGGGAGAGAGAGAGAGAGAGAGAGAGAGAGAGAGAGATGCTGTGATGTTTGTTTGCCCATGTGTATGATGCAACTCTTTACAGTAACACAGTAAAAAAAATTGGCTCTTCGTCTGTGACTGATTGTCCACCCCTGAACTAGACCATTGCCCCAGCACGAATATTTTGGTGTTTTTCTGCCAAGCGCATACTTCTTTCTGTTACAAAATTGTCAGATGAGTCAGGGGCAAGGTATCTCTCGATCGCCGAGAGTAGTGCATCATGGCCATAAATACAGTAGACTAGACTCGGGCCAGCACGAAAATTAAGTTACTCACATTTTTACGCCGGGTTCACAGTCGCCAGTCGATCAAAATTGGGCCTTTAGTGTGTACCAGGCACGAGGGTGCATCAATCATTTATTCATCCTATGATGGGAATTAGATTTTCACAGCAGCGTTATTCACAATTACAAAAAAAACATTTGAGGAATCCCAGGGGGAGAAAAAAATACATCCATCTGAGCCAGAAGAAAAGTCGACAAGGAGTTAAAGTGTTACCTTTTAAGCCATGGCAGTATTAATTCTAAAAGTAGAAATATATTCCAATTGCAACTTCAATGGCCAAACGACTGGTGCCCATCCTAATGCTGTGAAAGCCCTCCCAGGCACCTGGCAGCAGCCACATGGCAACCCAGCACCAGTATGATTTTCTTTGTCCTTTTGTATGGCTCGTTGCAATAAACACTGTCCTGTTCTTACTTTAGTGATTTGCTAGATTCCTCCTTATGAGCCAGGACAGAACAAAATCCAAATTGATCCTCTTGATTGATTGTCACGTCTTAGAACATAACTGAATTTCTCTTCGGGGACTTCCAGCTTTGTGGGCCAGGTTGCATCAGGGGACTGGAATTATACTCTCTGCAGAAGCAATCATATAGTCCAGGGGTGGCCAACCCACGGCTCGGGAGCCGCATGCGGCTCTTTGACTGGTTCAATGCGGCTCCCGGGATTTCACATGACAAGCGTCGTAAACGCCTCAGCGGTGGCGCTGCCATTCAAACAACGGCGCTAAATACACAGAACTAACTACGTCAGCCTATCATCAATGCCGTTACTTGATTTACATACAGGGCAACCAATCAGATGACAACTAAATCACCGCTCATGCGCAAACAACGGTGCTCAGCGCTAAGCGCAAACTCGTCAGCTTTAAATGTAGGGGTGCCCAATACGTCAATCACGATCGACCCGGAGCCAGCGAACTAGTCCCAAGTCGAGCGCGAGCGTTGGGAGGAAGAAATGGGGGGTGGGGGTTTATGACTGTGTGTTTCAATTTCGTTCGTGTTGAGTGAAGTTCCGGCTCTCGCTCATCTTGGTGTCTCTGCGTGCCTGCGTATGCGCACGT